GCCTCACGCACGCCTCCCGCCAGGTGTTCCGCGTGGAGGTGCGGTGCCGCGGGCGGAGGCATTGGGTGCACAGGCGCTACAGCGAGTTCCACGCGCTGCACAAGCGGGTGAGACGGCCGGGCTCCAGAGCTGGGTCCCAGCCTTCTGGGCGGGCGAGGGCGACGCCAGTCGCCTCTGACCTTGTCCTGGTGCGCCCAGCCCGCTTATGGGCGTTCCTCACCCTTATCCCAACCACCAACACCACTCATCAGGGTCGGCTTGGGTTGGAGCCTCAGGGTTGCGGGGAGGACTGGCTCAGCTTAGGATGAAGCAGGCTGGAGGGCTCTGTGGGGAGACACTGTAGCCGCACCTCGGTGACCTCTGCGCAGATCAAGAAACTGTACAAAGTTCCAGACTTCCCGTCGAAGCGCCTGCCCAACTGGAGGACCAGGAGCCTGGAACAGCGGCGGCAGGGTTTGGAGGCCTATATCCAGGTGTGTGTGTGTGTCGGGGGAGGCCGGGTGTGTGCATCCGGGCGTGGGGGAACATACTCTAGTGCCTCTATCCAGGCGCTTGGAGGGGGCATACTCGGGAACCTCTCGCCAGCCGGACGAGGGGGTGGGGAACCCAGACAGAGAGGTGCAAGGGTTTGGGAGGGCTCCCACAACTCGAGGATGTTACTCACTACACCGTCATTGTCCTGGACAGAATGAGTCCCTGCGACCCTCTCTAGGTTGTTGAAAGGCTCACAGTGAGGCACCAAGGAGGCAGGTAGTCTTCCCTTTAGGGTAAGGCCCTGGCCGCTCTGGTGATATGATGTAAAGTGGGGATCTTCCCCACAAGAAGGATGAGGAGTCATAGCTCGGCACTTCATGGGGAACCAGCCTGTGCAGCCACAGCAGGACCCAGCACTCTGAAGGCTCTGAAGGCTCCGCTCTGCTCTCTGGAAATCTTCACTATTTCAGAACAAAGGGCCTCACATTCTCACTAGCCCTGGGCTCTGCTAATTAGTAGCTGGGTCTGATTATAGGTTTCCTGCGTCGTTTTCTCTAGGGCATCCTGTACCTGAACCAAGATGTGCCCAAGGAGTTACTGGAATTCCTGAGACTCCGACACTTCCCAGTGGACCCCAAGGCCAGCAGCTGGGGGTGAGAAGGGCCAGGGGCTCTTGGCAGTGAGTGAGGAAGGGTTTTGATAAACGAGCCCTTTCCCTCCTCCCATTGGCCAAGCCCTAGCTTGGTCCTCCCTCCTGAGACCTGACCTCTCACTGTGGCTTTCTTGACCCTGGTGGAGAGACTGATTTTGGACAACCTTGGTTACCCCAGCTGCCTCCACCTCCGGAACTGGGCTCATTACAAATAGAAGCTTGGTCCCTTGGGACTTGAAGTTCTGGGCTTGTGTCTCCACCCCTTCCTCACCTCCCCCTGGGCATCCCCAGAAAGCTTACAGAGCCTCTCTTCTTTCAGCACCCTGGGGGAATTCCTGCCTAGCAACAACAGCAGGCAAGTCAAAGCCTTGGCCGTGCCCATCTGCTGCCCCCTGGTGGCCATGTGCGAAAAGGTTGGCTGCAGCATCTGGCCCGTCCGTGTCTGGCTTCGGCGGCCTCCTGCCCCCTCTCCCAACTCCTTTCACTTTGTGGGTCCCTGGCCACCTGTCCCTAGTCTCCAAGCATGTGGGACTTCCCCTACCTCCCTGCTACTCCATGGATCATGAGCCTCTTTCCACCCAGCTCACAGATGCACCATCGGCCCGTCATCAGCTTCTGCAGGGACCCCTACATTTGCATCCCTTCTGCAGGTGAGGAGGCACCTCTGACCTGTCTGTATTCAGGGCCTGGATCCCGGGGTGGGCTGGGGGTGCCCTTACCATTTTCCACTCCTAGGGCCCTCAGGCAGTGTCTTCCCTCCTGCTGCCTTTTGGGTGTCACTGTATGCTGCTCCTGTAGCTATGTGGCCTTCACAGACACCAGTGAGATGGGCCTGCTCCCCTGGTCTCCATTCCTTAGCACCCTGCCACACCAAGGTGACATATACAGAACATGGCCTGGAACGCCAATGCCTCATCAGGGCCGAAAACTGGAATCTGCCACCTTGGCAGCTCAGGAAGCTGCAGGCCTGTCCCATGCCACGCCCTCCATTTACTTTGTGCAGCGCCTCTGCCTGATGTGGTGGTGAACGGTGTGCTCCAGGGCCTCTACGGATTCAGCACCAGCCCAGCACCAGCCCAGCAAAAGGCTGACTGTAACCCTGCTCCTCTGCCACTCATGCCCTGATGAGTCCAGTAGCCTCAGGGTCACCTGTGAGGAGAGCCATGTGCCTCAGTCCTGTAAGGGCCACTCAAGGAGCCAAGGCTGTTTCTTTTGTCCTGGACCCAGGAATCTACCATGCCTTGTCCTGTAAAGTCTCTGAAGTGGGCATGCCTGGCTGGGGTGGTCTTAGCGCCCAGGGGCCAAGGCAGGGCAAGGAGATGAGGAATAAAGGGAAAGAAAATTTAAGAGGTGGATGGGAGACATAGGTACAGAAGGGGGGGTGCAGTAAGGCTGAGGCACAGTAGCTTACAAAGTTTGGCAGTCTAGGGATAGGGCAAACGCCCACTGTCACAGCAGAATCCTGATACAGTGGGATAGACTCGGGGTGGGGACTACAGACCTGAGCCAGCCCACACACAGGTTATTAAAAAACCCCACTTTTTTATTGGTCAGCATTGATACCAGTAGACTGTTACAAAATTGGGCCTGCATAATGTGAGGCAAGTGGTCCGCTTGGTCAGGTGCCAGCACCGGGCCAATAAAGCACAGAGCCTGGGGCTGGGTTACCTTCACCCTCATGAGGGCAGCGGGGCTGGCGCAGATGGTCACACACAGGGCAGAGGCCCCTAGTTCCCTACTCCTTGGCGATGGCAAAGGGCTTCTCCACCTCGATCTTGCCACAGTCTGCAATGATCACGTCCTTCAGGGGTTTGTCCCGGCTGTCTGTCTTGGTGCCCTCCACCTTCCGCACCACCTCCTGCGAAGGGAAGGTGGGTTGAGTGAGGAGGGCTGAAACCCACCAGAGACAAACAGCCCACAAACCCTGAGATTTGGGCCAGGCTGAGGGTAAGGAGGAGCAGAGGGTGACTGGACAGTGAGGTACCTAACAGCTTCTCAGGGACATCATGTTTAGCCAGACCCCGCACAGCCCCATTTAGTGAGTGATGAACAGGATCCTGCAGCTCTGGGTTCTCAACAAGCTGTCTGGGCTCTGCTGGTTCCATTAGTTCTTGCTACATAGCCTAGGCTGGCCTCACACTTCTAAGCAGGATCCTCTTGTCTCAGCCTCCCACCTAGCTGGGTGTGGGCTGTTTATTCTTGATTACCCCTAGGTTAGGGGACATGAATACTGCCCTGCATCTGTTGCTTGGGTTCTGAGATGGGATAAAACCCAGGTCGGCCTCCAGGACTCACCATGCCCTCTAGAACTTTGCCAAACACCACGTGCTTGCCGTCTAGCCAGGCTGTCTTGACTGTAGTGATAAAGAACTGGGAACCGTTGGTGTCTTTGCCAGCATTGGCCATGCTCACCCAGCCGGGGCCATAGTGCTTGAGCTTGAAATTCTCATCTGGGAAGCGCTCGCCGTAGATGCTCTTGCCTAGGAAGAGGGCAGAGCAGTTTGGAGAGAGGGGTTAGCTCACACCAGGCAGACCTTTGCAGTGAGGATCTGAAGCAGCTCAACCAGTCCTTTGTGCCAGGCTAAGTGTGAGTGGTGCCTGGGCACAAAGAGGCTGCCCCTGCCCATCCTCTAGCCTTGGAGCTACACCTTGCTGACCAAGACGGGGTGGGTGATGTCAAGGACAGCACAATGGACGGATGATGTTATGGCTTCTGACTGGAGACCCACTGGCCCCACCTTGGGGGTGACCTGAGGGACTTCGGTGGAAGACATTCACTCGGGCTGACTGGTTGGGCTTCTAAAGAGCACAGAAGATAAGATAGGCCCAGCTGCAGTACAGAGATGGGTACAAAGAGGTGGGAGAGGCCACAGAGAGAGGCTGCTGTTTGAGTTCTTGATACTCTTACAGCTTCTTGCAAGGAATGAGCATAAAATAAAAGGCAATAATGGATCTGTGTTGTAAGTTTGTCCCTGTGGGGTCGAGGGCTGGGGTGCATGATACGGAGTGCAGTTCTTTATGTCACCTTAGCCAGCCAGGAGAGAAGCACTGAGACCCTTCTTTTTCTTTGTCACCTTTTGGGAGACTCAGCTGCCTCAGTGGATTCAAGAAATGCCTGGAGAAAGACTGTTAAAAGAGATCATTTGCACTCTGGGAAGCTACCCAACTGAGGGTGGCTGTGGAGATAGTGTTGGCTGTGTCCCTAGTGGTCAGACTGAAAGCCAAGGATGGCTGATGGGTAGGGGTGTGACGACCTGTGTGCCAGCAGGGCAGAGGCTAGGTGGCCACCTTCCCGTGGTGCCTCCTGGCTGGGCTGCTCCCATGTGAGGGTCCTGTGTAAGCCTTAGTCAATCACAGGATCTCAGTTATTGCTGCTATCCAGAAAATCCTAAACCGACAGTATATCCTTAATTCCAAGCATGTTCCCAAATTCCAAAGGGGAGTACACCTGAAAGCCAGTAAAATCAGCATCCTGCCTTCCAGATCCCATTCTTGGCAACCTTTCCTCTGTACGCTGCTGTCACCACTCCATGGATTCCCTTTTTCGTCCTTCCGATAACCCTTACAATCCCTGGTGGATAAACAGATGAACAGAGACTGTTCCAGGCATTTCAGTCTAACAGTCCATCTTTGAGCCAGAAGCTAATAACTATTTCAGAAACCAGACAGCGGTCAAAGGGCACCCAACTGGGAAGCAACAGAGTTGGAATCCAGACCAGGGTGGCCTGGTTCCCAGGTGCCTGCACATACCCAGACAGCTACACTGCAGGGCTCTGGGCTCAGGTTGCCCTGCCACAGAACAGCTGCACACCACCTCAGCAGCAGCTGGCCCTCAGGGCCACAACTTAAACCCTGCCACATCTCACCCTCTGTGACTGGCTCGTCCTTCCATCCACACCATCAGCAGGACCCTAACCCTTAGAGTGCAGAGCCCGGCCTCTAGCTAAAGTGTACCCCTCTGTACCTTACGTGTTCTACTTCCAGCCCCACCATCCCTTTGCCAAGCTCCTGCTGCAGAACAGAGCCAGGCTCTCAGTTTAACCCCCTCTATGTCCATTCTGAACCATTTCTCCCATTCACAGGGCCACTTCCTGGCCCCTGCAGCCAGATCTCATCAGGCACTCACCATACACTAAGCACCTAATACCCATGATCTCACCCGAGCCTCTGCATGCCCACCATCCTTACCCCACTTCCTGTATAGAACAGGACACAGAGGCTTGGAGGACTCCCTTGTCTGAGAATACAAAGTAAAAGGGTGGCAGACACTGGTTCAATCTCAGCTTTGTCTGACTCCATGAGCACCACTGTCTTTAGGTAGTTCTCAAGTCTTGTGTTGCTAAGTAGCTTTCAAGGCTTCTACTTCTTCCTACTTCAATGATGAATAACTTTAGAGCAAAGAAAGCCTGAGTCCTAAGTGTTGTATGGCCCACTAAGGAATTGTCAACAATTGATCGGGGGCGGGGGGGAGAGAGAGAGAGAGAGAGAGAGAGAGGGAGAGAGAGAGGCCTTGCTGGCCTTTCTACGCTTGGCACCCGCTTCCTGGGGTCTGAGGAAATAGTAGGCTGGGCATCTAAGCAGTTAGCCCAAGGTGTCCTTCTGTGAGTATCCCGATCATTGGTGGGGTCCACCAAGGACAGCCGCTCCTAGCACACTGGCTGGGGCCTCCAAGCTGGGGCACATAAGCTTCGCACCCATAGGCCAGTACTTTGCTGCCACACCAGCCCTCCAGCCTCATCCTGAAGAGTAGCAGGGAAAAGTCACCCACTGCAGGTCTGAGTGGACTCCAGGTCTGTACCTGAGAGAGAGACCCTTTGGGTCCACCTCACCCTTTTTCTTCCTCTTCTTTCTGATGTTCCCCACTGCTCGGCATGGGACAGCTGTCACTGTGTAGGCAAGATGCCTGTCTCTGAAGTCTGGGACAGAAGAAACCTGGCCTGTCCCCCACAGCCCAGCCCTCCACCTTGGAGGCCACACTGGCAGCCTCCTCTGCCCCAAGGTTACCTCCTGTGCCATCTCCTCTGGTGAAGTCTCCACCCTGGATCATGAAATCTTTGATCACACGATGGAATTTGCTGTTTTTGTAGCCAAATCCTTTCTAGAAAAAAGGAGAAGGCAAGGAGGTACCATGAGGAAGCATGCAACATCAAACATCCCAAGGGAAAGCAGACTGCAACTGCTGCCCCAAGAAGAGACCCCACCGCCGGCCGGCATGGAGCACAGACTCAGGAAGGGCTGAGAGTGCACCTTCCTCTACCTTTGTGCAGTTCCCAGCTTTACACAATCCTATGTCATGTAATGGCTTTCCCTTCTCTTCTAATCACAAGAACAAATGGAAGAAAACAGAGAAGAAAGGTCAGTTGCTGGCCCAATGCAACGAGACAGGGTCTTGCTATGTAGTTTAGGCTGGCATTGAACTTGCAGAAGTCCTCCTGACCCAGTCTACGGAGTGCTGGGATTATAGGTATGAACCACCACAGCTGGCTAAGGGTGCTGTTGTTTTCTTGAAACCCAGTGTGGTATCCCAGGAAAAAGTCTCCCAGGGGAACTCTGGGCCCTTTACACTTAAAGTGGCAATAAGGGTCCCCAGGGCCACAGTCAGTCCTCAGCAAAGGCACTCCAGTTTGCTGCCACCTCTGCTACACTGAAGTGACAAACACTGCTCCAACCACTTACCTCTCCTGTAGCTAAGGCTACAAAATTATCCACTGTTTTTGGAACGGTCTTTCCAAAAAGACCAAAGACCACCCGGCCCACATCTTCATCTCCAATTCGAAGGTCAAAATACACCTGAGGAAAAGAGATCATTTCAAACTCAGTGTGAAGGGGGCATTCCTAGGGGAGAGAACAAGACGAGAGGAAAGCCTGGCCTTGAACTCTCCATTCTCAAACTTCAGCCTCCCGAGTACCTGGGACGAGAGGGGTACAGCAGTGTGTCCAGCCTGAACCATATTTAAAAGCAGTGGTTCTGAATACGATTTTGGTGGCAAAAATCCTGTGAAAAATCTAAGGAAAGCATAAAACCCTTTACTCGAAACATGTGTTTGTACACGCTCTCCTTATACTGCAAGGTAATATCTTTGCTTCAAGTAAATGTGCCCGTATAAATAAACATTTAAAAAGGAGGAGAATCTAAACTCACGATGCAAGTTTAAGCTATATTTACTGTGCTCTGGGGTAAAGGGAGAGAAGGCGAGGCGGGCCAGATGTTTTGGGCATTTCCCCAGCACTGCAGGGTCTTAGCATAAAGGCTGCTCCGAGGCCATCAACGCGGGCCCTCGCCGGGCATTCAAGCCCTGAGAAGTCCCAGGACAGAGCGAGGGGTGTCCCGGGGAGGATCCTGGTCAGGGGATGTCGGGGAGAATCGGGGTCATTCTTGGGCTCGGGTGTCAGATAGTCCAGGCGCTACGAGGCTACCGCCAGTCCAGGGAGAGGCTGAGCTGAAGCCAAGGACGCCCAGGCCGAGCGGCGGACACCCATGGCCAGCAGCGCCTAGGCCGGATCGGGGCGGGGCGGGAGAGGAGCATGCAGACCTTGACGGTGACTTTAGGCCCCTTCTTCTCGTCGGCCGCGGAGGGTCCCGGCAGCAGCAGGAAGAAGACGGAACCCACGATGAGGGCGGCGGCGAAGAGAAGCTTCATGTT